TAGGCATGTGGTGGTAATACCTTGCGGTTCTAGTTTGTATTTCCTTAATGGTTAATGATCTTGATTGTGTTTTCATGTGCTTGCTTGCCACCTGTATATCATTGATGAAATGTCTGTTTAAATATTATGCCCGCTTTAAAAATTGAGGTTTTTCTCCCTTCTTTTGAAAAGTCTATGTATTTTCTGGATACATAGTTTTTCAGATATGGATTTGCTTAGCATTCTTTGGCTTCTGTTTTTTTAAAAAAGAAATATGATTTGTAAATATTTTCTCCCAGTCCAGCTTATCAATTTTTTATTCTGTATATTGATTGTGCTTTTGGGTTGTCTCTAAGAAAATATTTGTCGCCAGGCGCGGTGGCTCAAGCCTGTAATCCCAGCACTTTGGGAGGCCGAGGTGGGTGGATCATGAGGTCAAGAGATCGAGACCATCCTGGTCAACATGGTGAAACCCCGTCTCTACTAAAAATACAAAAAAATCAGCTGGGCATGGTGGTGCATGCCTGTAATCCCAGCTACTCAGGAGGCTGAGGCAGGAGAATTGCCTGAACCCAGGAGACGGAGGTTGTGGTGAGCCGAGATCGCGCCATTGCACTCCAGCCTGGGTAACAAGAACAAAACTCCATCTCAAAAAAAAAAAAAAAAAAGAAAAGAAAATATTTGTCTAGCCTGTGGCCACAAAGATTTTCTCCTGTATCATTTTTTTCTAGAATATATCATTTTCAGTGTTACATTTAGGTCTGCAGTGCATTTTGAGTTAATTTTTTATTATTCAAAGTATGGATTGAGGCTCTTTTTTTTGTTTTGCATATGGACACCTTGTTCTAGTACCATTTATTGAAAATACTAATTTCTCTGTTGAATTGTCTGTATTATTAATCCTGATTTGTATTTCATCTGACAGATCCAGAATGATTTGAAAAGTTAAAGCTTACTGTATTTAGAAATCTGTTAAGTGTCTTATTTGGAACCTGCCATTTGCTGACAGCAGTTTGTTATCTACAGAAGGATTTTCTAAAATAACTTTAAGCCTAAGATTAAAAGAAGATTTTGCTAATGATTCATTATCTGTTTGGAAAAACTTGCATGATTTTTCATGCATCAAGGATGAGCCGAAATGGTTTTTCCTAGAAGGTTCCCATTTTCTTCTTTGTAGAATTACTTGGTAGTTCTCTAATAATCTGTGTTTGGGCTTTATATCATCTTTGATAGTGATACATTTGGGGCAATTCTCTTTTTGTTTAAAACTATCATATAGTTGTCCTAAGTTAAGTACTTCTAGGCCAGGCTTGACGGCTTATGCCTGTAATCCAGAACTTTGAGAGGCAGAGGCAGGAGGATCACTTGAACCCAGGAGTTTGAGACCACCTAAATCAGAATCAAAAACATAGCCAGCGGTGTGGTGCATGCCTGTTGTCCTAGCTGCTTGGGAGGCTGAGGTGGGAGGTTTGCTTGAGCCCAGGAGTTCAAGGTTATAGTAAGCTGTGGTGGGTCCACTGCACTCCAGCCTGGGTGACAGAGAGAGACTCTCTCTAAACAAACTGACTAAAAGTTTAATTACTTTAAAAAAAGGTCGTACACAATTATTGTTGTTAGGGTGAGGGTTTTCTTATTTTTCTTATTTTTATTTTTTTTTGGCAGGAGGAACTCTTGATTTGTCAGCCAGCCATGATTGCAGTGGCTCAATCAACTCACTGCAGTCTTAAACCCCTGGGCTGAAGTGATCCTCCTGCTTCAGCCTCCCAAGTAGCTAGGACTGTAGGACTAGGATGACAGGCACACGCCACGACGCCCATCTAATTTTTTTTTAGAGACAAGGTCTCGCTATATTGCCCAGGCTGATGTCCAACTTCGTGGCCTCCAACAATGCTCCTACTTCAGCCTCCCAAAGTGCTGGAATTCCAGGCATGAGCCACTGTGCCTGGTTTATTTTTTATCTTTCACTGTAGAGTGAAAGAATTGCTATTTGGCTATACATTGGTGTTCTGTAATACGATGAGGTTTGAGTTAATCTCAGTATTTGGATATTTATTATTTATTAATTTAGAAGTACTTTGCAATTAACACCTTTAAAGTAACTTAAAATTTTAAGTGTTACAGTAGAAATTAAAATGCCAAGAAGCAGATGTTTTGGAGGTTAATTTAAGACAGACTTTCAGGCTGGGCCTCGTGGCTCACTCCCATAATCCCAGCACTTTGTGAGGCTGAGGCAGATGGATCAGCTGAGGTCAGGAGCTCAAGACCAGCCTGGCCAACATGGTGAGACCCCGTCTCTACTAAAAATATAAAAATTAGACAGGTGTGTTGGGGTGTGCTTGTAATCCCAGCTATTCAGGAGGCTGAGGCAGGAGAATCCCTTGAATCCGGGAGGCAGAATCTGCTATGAGCTGGTAGCATGCCACAGTGCTCTAGAGTGGCCAATAGACCAAGATTCCATCTCAGTAAGACATAACAAAAATAAGATAGACTTTCAGGATTAATAGCTGCTTTTAAATTTTTAAAATCATTTGTTGGTCACTGCTTTTTTTCATTTCTGAAATGACCACTCTCAAGTGCCTTTTTATTTTGTCTTTGGAAAATGTACTCTTGTCCCTTGCTAGTCCATTTTTCTCCTTTATTTCCCCTTTCTTTATTTGGATAGACTTTGCCATACAATTTTATTTTTATTATTTTTGTTGCAGTAAAATACATGTAACATAAAATTGATCACTTTAATTATTTTAAAGTATGTGGTTCAAGCCACGTGTAGTGGTATGGCGCCTGTAGCTCCAGCTGGTCGAGAGACTGACGCTGTGCTCCTTGAGCCCAGGACTTTGAAGGCATCCTGGGCAATATAGCAAGACTCCCTTCTCTTAATAAAAGTGTACAGTTCAGTGGCATTACATACGTTAACAATATTGTGCGACCATCACCACCACCATCTTGTTCTAGAACTTGTTCATTACTGCCACACAATTTTAGCACCTGATTGTTCCTTAGTGTTTGGCTGCCATATTAAGTATTAGGTTTGTAAGAGATAAACAAGACTCAGTTCTTGTCCTCAAGGACTTCACAGTCTAGTGAGAGAAACCTAGTATTTATGATACAGTGTGGCAAGTTACATGTTAGAACTCCCCGTCATTTAATTTCATTTATTCAATTAGAATTTTAATTTTACCTTGAAAAAGCAAAGTAACTTTTTGTTAGGTTAACATTCAAGTTGTCATATCATTCCACACACTGAATTCATTTAGGCTAGACCGAAGTCTTTAGTCTTTTGATTTAGGTCATTGTGGGACTCACAAATCCTTATGCCCTATATTTATGACAAGAAGGGAACCAGAAAGTTGATATTTTGATTTAAAACCAAATTATGAGCTATTCCTTCCTAATGAAGCAGGGAGATCTGTGAAAACTATGATTAGAGAGAACTTATTAGTTGTCTGCAACTATCATTTGTTGAAACTGTTTTTACTTATTTTAGTTGCAGTGACACCTTGCTTGATTATGATCAAATACAGCATTGTAAGGGCATGTTTATTTCTCTTGGCAGATCATCTTGAGGAATAGTTGCTTTGGAAACTGTCAAGAGCTTATTTTTAATTTCTTGAAAAGCTGGGAGGTATCAACTGATACAAAGTTTAATGTCTTAGAAGTTTTAGTTTAAACTAATGTTATCAAATTGAGCCGTATTTTTCAAAATATAGATTTTATTTTCATTATTATGACTTATTTTCTTCATTATTAAAGACTCACTGTAATATTGCTTTTAAAAGTAAAACAGGCTGGGTGTGGTGGCTCACGCCTATGATCCCAGCACTTCGGGAGGCCAAGGCGGGTGGATCGCCTGAGCTCAGCAGTTTGAGACTACCCTAGGCAACATGACAAAACGCTGTCTCTACTAAAATACCAAAAATTAGCTGGGACTGGTGGTGCATGCTTGTAGTCCCAGCTACTTGGGAGGCTGAGGCATAACAATCACTTGAGCCTTGGAGGCAGAGGTTTTGGTTAGCTGAGATCGTGCCACTGCACTCCAGCTTGGGCTACAGAGTGAGACTCCGTCTCAGAAAAAAAAAAAAAAGGCAAAACAGCATGGCTCTTTGTTTATAAGATTCTGTAGTCTTCCTAATGTAGTCAGTCCAAAAGAATTGGTGTCCCAAACGGTTAATAGTGTTTTATTTTACAATTTCAACACTTGTTAGGAGAATAAAAATTCAGATTACTAGGCCTAATAAGCTGTATTTTGTTTTGTTTGAAACAGGTTCTCATTCTGTCACCACGCTTGGAGTGCAGAGGCTTGATCACAGCTCACTGCAGCCTCAACCTCCTGGGCTTAAGTGATTATCCCACCTCAGCCTCCTGAGTAGCTGGGACTACAGGCTCACACCACAATGTGTGGCTAATTAAAAAAAATTTTTTGTAGAAACAGGGTCTCACTGTATTCCCCATGCTGGTCTTGAACTCTTGTGCTCAAGTGATCTTTCTGCCTTAGGCTCCCAGAGTGCTGGGATTACAGACGTGAGCCACTGTGCCCAGCCCTAATACATTTTTATAATTTTTTTTCTTTTTGGGGGGTAGGGGACAAAGTCTCGCTCTGTTGCCTAGGCTAGAGTGCAGTGGCCCGATTTCAGCTCACTGTAACCTCAAACTCCCGGGTTCAAGTGATTCTCCTGACTCAGCCCCCTGAGTAGGTGGGATTACAGGCGTGTGCGTGCCCGGCTAATTTTTGTATTTTTAGTAGAGGCAGGGTTTCACCATGTTGGTTGGGCTTGTCTCAAACTCCTGATCTCATGATTTGCCCGTCTTGGCCTCCCAAAACACTGGGATTACAGGTGTGAGCCACCTCGCCCGACCGTGTGGTGTGGTTTTGATTGCCTACTGAAAAAGAATTATTGCAGTGTCCTTTTAGGTAAAAATAATAATAATAATAAAGAAATGTTTAAAATAACCCTTAGTTGGTTAGGCTGTTAATAAATTTGACTTACTGCTTTTGAAAAATAACTGTAATCATCTTTTTTCAGGGTAATCACTTTGATCAATATGAGGAAGGACACTTGGAAATTGAACAAGCATCACTTGACAAGCCTATTGAATCGGTAAGATAATCAGTTTTTAATTTCGGGTCTTAGCCAGTTAGTTAGGTAGTGTTTGTGTGACACTTGATGTGAATGAAGTTAAACATTAATAACCAGTAGTACAGTTTAGAGTTGTTTTCTTGTATGCCAAATAGACTTTGGGATATAATCTGATATTTAATATGTTGGGAAATCAGTCCAAAAAAATCTAGAAATGCATTAGAATTTTGATGGAAAAATATCTTTTTGGCCCATACTGATACTTTGTTGAAGGTAGCAAGTTAAAGTTTAGCATTTTGTGAATTGAATAAAGGAGTAAAATGTATTTTGATCCTTTTATAGCGTCACCTTTCCCAGGCAGTGTAATTATGTATGAAATGTTTCTGCATAAATAGAATATGTATGGAAAAAATTTTTTTTCAGTTATATTAGAAACAGTTAAGGAATTATGCGTTTTATTTACCAGACTTGTGAAACATGGCAAGTTTGGTCTCTGTAGCTTAAGAAATGTCTGTTTTTTATCAGTAGCTGATTTTTTCTGTCTTTTCATACTGCTTAGTTTTGGGCACTGATGATATCAAGTAATAGAACAAGGAGATTTATTTACTGGGCTCTTAGTTTTAGAAAAACTTCTTTTTTTTTGAGACGGAGCCTTGCTGTGTCACCAGGCTGGAGTGCAGTGGCACAATCCCGGCTCACTGCAACCTCCGCCTCCTGGGTTCAAGCGATTCTTCCACCTCAGCCTCCCGAGGAGCTGGGACCACAGGCACATGCCACCACGCCCAGCAAATTTTTGTATTTTTAGTAGAGATTGGGTTTCACCATGTTGGCCAGGATGGTCTCGATATCTTGACCTCGTGATCCACCCACCTCGGCCTCCCAAAGTGCTGGGATTACAGAAAAAAACTTAATTTTTGAACATTATTTTCATTTTGAGAAACCCATTATTTTAATGTAAAACAGTCCATTGATAAAATGTCTAAACTTCTCATTGTCAACATTTACTATTTGTGCTTAAGTGCTCATATTTAATAAGGGTTTCAGTGAGTTATTGGTAAAACTTGAGTGGGGAAAAAAAGTCAAAAAGGGAATCTTAATCTTTATAACCATCATGACAAGCCCCTCTTCTTCTTAAGAAATACTAGATTCTTCCTCAGGAAAATAAGAAGGCAATTTAGAGAATATAGATGTTTTAACTTTAGCCTTTATTTTCAAAACTGTAACATAGTAAAGGATCAACATATGTTTATGTTCCTGATTAGGTTGGTGTTGTATCTGTTTGTATGTGTATTTAGATGTTTACAGAAATTTACACAACTTGGGGTGTTCGACATTTTTCTTCCATGATCTAGTTTGTATTGCACGGTCTGCCTTTTTAAAATTTCTTCTCTAGGGTTTCTTTCTCCCCACCTCCCTTTCTTATTTCTGTCTTTCTGGTCCAGTGAATACTGCATATAGTACCTTCTGTCTTAATGTGCTGGCATGATGCTAGACTTAGGCATGGCAGTTATTGATGACGCATGTGATAGTGCTGCA